TGTCCCTGCCTCACAGAAGAGGAAGTGGAGTCCCAAGGGCTGGGTGACTCACCCAAAGTCACACAGTAGTGTGGTGGGACTGGGCTCAGAGCTCAGCAGGAGGGTGAGGAATTGCAGGGGTCACTCTAGCACTGTGGCCTCTGATTCCTTCAGGCCAGCTCTGTCCTGCTCCAGAGGGCCCTGGGGTTCTGCCAGAGCTAGCTGTGAGAGGGCAGGGAAGGCAGGACCTTCTCCCTCTTCCTCAGGGCACTTTTAGGAGGTGTGTGTGTAGGGGGGGGGAGCCCCAGCTGCCTTGACACCACCCCTCCCTCTCTCTGGTGGCCCTTCAAGACCCTCCCCAAAAGGTTAATCACTGAATTATCCCATCAAAGAAAATTGCACTTTTGTGCCTTAAAGACCAAACTAAGCTTCAGCATCAGAGTTATTTATGGTCTCTAATAAGCATTTTCCGGGTGTGATTAACCTTTATGCCAAAGTCACGCTGGGAATTGGGATGGCAGCTTGGATTCTGTGTGGCCTGGGGTGGGGGTGCGGGCGTGGGCAGCAGCTGAAGCAGGCAGCTGTCAGACTCCCGCCGTACCACCCACCCCTCCTGGGCTCCTGAGCCACTTCGCCCTCCAAGGGCATCTCTCCTGTCTGTGCCTTGTGCTGACCTGGCCAGGCCAGAGCACCACCCACCTCGCTCCATGCAAACGTGGATCAGATTGCCAGATCCCAGTCCTCGCTTGCTGCTCAGAACCCCTGTCACCCTCAGCACCTCAGTGAGTCCAGCTATAAAATAAGGAGCCCAGGACTCTGTCTGCTTTCTGCAGCCCAGTGCTGCATCTGTGTCAGGTCCCCATGGTACCTCAGACAGTCATTTTAGCTGAAGCTGTCTTTGAGCTGCAGTAGGCCCTTGTCTGTCTTAGATTTAACCTTCAAGATTTGGAGAGGTGAGGTTGGGCAGGATGGCATCAGCCTGTAACCCCAGCAACTCAGGAGGTCAAGGCAGGAGGATTGCATGCTTGAGGCCAGCCTCAGCAACTTAGTGAGACCCTGTCTCAAAATTTAAAAAGTAGGGAATGCTGGAGATGTACTTCAGGGGTAGAATGCCCTGGGTTCAATCCCCAGTACTAAAAAAAAAAAAAAAAGTCTTGGAGAGATTTAAAATAAGACAGAAGTTTCATTTGGGGCTGCCAGGCTGGGGTGCAGAATGGGGATCAGCTAGAGAGTGGGTCTAGAGCTCTGCCAGATTCACATTCTCAGTTCCATTTTGGTTTCTCTGCTAGTTGGAAAATGGCAAATCTCATGAAGTGCTGAAAACTTGGTTTGTCAAAATGATTCTGGAATTCTGGAAACCCAGCCAGTAGCTAGGGCTCATGTGGAGGGGAGGAGTCCAAGCAAGGAGGAGTCCAAGCAAGTGTTAGTTCTTAGGCCCAAAGCACTTTAGTTTGAGCTAAGAGAGGGTGACATGTCCAGTTTGGTGAAGGCCTGGACCTCTGGGGGGACCCATTCAGCATATATTCCAGCCATAGTACTTGCTCTTTTGGGGGTGCTAGGCCTTGCTGAGAAGTAGAGGAAGTGACGAACCCCCCAGGAAAATGGTTTTATTGCACTTACCATTCTGCTTTAATTCCAGGGTGTTCACACTCCCTCCCTCACTGTGTTTGTGGACCCCAGATTAAGGACCCCATTCTCAGTTTTAAGAGGAAACAAACATTGCCCCTAATACTTTTGGGGTCTGTTCCCACCAGCACAGTAGTTTCCTGATGATAGGGATAGAAAATGGCAGTGTCACTGAAGAGGACCGTGTCATCAGCAGAGGGTGGAGGAAACAGGCAGGAAAACCGGACTTTTCTTGGAAGTGATTCAGGAAGAAGCCTTTACAAGGCTTCCTCAGGACAAGTAGCGACGCAGGCAGAGATTCTGCTACAGAGTTGACCTTTCCAGAGAGGAACGGTTGGTCTGGGAATTTTAAGGAGCATTTTCTTTTGCATAATGCAACACAGGTCCTCACTGGACAGGAAATGGCTTGGTAACCTGCATGTCCAAGAAGGAGACAGCGTCAGGGCTGTAGGTGGCCAAGGGCAGTTGAGTTCTTTGCCCTGTGGCATTTGGTTTGATTTTAGGATGAATCTGGAATTGTTTGCTCTTCTGTAAACCCCAGGACATTAGCATGCAATCTAATTCAAGGCTTGGGCCCTGGGTGCTTGATACCGAGGTGGTTTAGCTATCTTCAGGGCTAGTCTGAGGCCTCCATCTGTGAGCCTCCTGAGCATAAGGCCCAGTGCATGTACAGGGCACTTTGGGGACACATTGAAGGGGTAATTGAGTCACTTTGCTTTGGCGGGCTGGGGAGGGGCCCTGTATGTGAATTTTGAGGAATGCACAGCTCACCAGGGGCAGGGGCAGGAGAAGCTGGGGAGGGGGCACCAACTGCAGGCGCAGGAGGGGCCGGTGTGCAGGGGAAGTGACACATGGTGTTTAGCAGGGAATAGATGGCAACGTGCCTTAAAGGGGGGATTGAAGGCTGGAGCAGGAAGCAGGGTCTAGAGGTTGGGTGACAGGGCAGCGTGACAGGGCAGCCAGCCTGGTTTCCAGGAGGTGTTTCCAGTATCCTCTGATTTGCCTGCGACTCGGCTGAGTATGTGAGTGAAGTGGGCATCCTGGGTGAGACGCGGAGGGCAGGATTTCCTGGTCACTTTCTAGAAGAAACCTCTGGCCATAGCAGCTGGGCTGCTCACCTCTGGGGACAGCAGAGCCTGGGCCTCCGCCGAATGCTGAGCAAGCCCAGCAGGTTTGTCCTGCGGGCTGCTCTCTGTTTCTCTCCTTCCTTGGGGAAGAGCCACTTGGGAAAGTGGGGGTAAAGGTATTTCTCACCTCTCTGGAGACTGCAAAGTTGAGTTACTGATGAATAAAGTGTTGGAATTTCCTTGGGCTATAGAGATGAGTAGGTTTGTCCCCATCTCTGTTGAAGCCCAGGAGCAAGTTAGCTGACCCCAGCGCCATTCAGTGAGTGTCCCTTGTGCCAGGCACAGGGCGGGCCTGCAGGGCGGGGCTTCTTGGGAGCCGAATGCTTGCTGCAGGAAGAGTGGAGGACAGAGGGGGTAAACCAGGCCCACCAGGGACTCAGGTTGACATTGAAGGGACAACATGACCCTGCGAACCACTGGGGTCAAGGAGAGCTTCCTGCAGGGGTGGCAGGAGGACAGGCTCTGCCCAGGAGAGGAACTGCTCCATGACACCTGGGAGGGAGGGCTGCAGAGCCTGATGTCATCACGGGGACAGAAAGAGGAAGGAATGGGTGCCTGTGAGGGTGGAGGTCCTGGGGGTGGGGAGGACATTCCTGGCAGGTGAGCACAGAAAGTTGGCCCCTGGAAAAAGACAGACAGACACACAGACAGAACCAGACTCAGCTCACTATGGGCAAGTGAAAGAAAATGATATTCAAGTTTGCTTTTAAGGACTAAGGGAAGGCCCTGAGGTCCAGAGAGGATGAGCAGGGCCAGGGCAGCAGTGGGTGGGGCAGTGGGTGGATGGGAGGGTGTGATGGGGCCAAGGGTTCGAGGAGGGAGGCATTCTCCAGAGCACATGCTAAGGCAGGAGGTGCCAAAAGCCTCTGTAATCACCATAAGTAATATCATGATATTATTACTGATTTTTTCCCTTTTCCCCAAGCTCTAATGTAATCAGTACTGTCACTGAACCTGTATTTTTCTTATTTTGTTCATCATGAATTTTTTTTGTTGTTGCATTAATTTCGATTTTTTAAAATACTGCATTAGGGGCTGGGGTGTAGCTCGTGGTGGAGTGCTTGCTTGCCTGGGAGGCACAAGGCCCTGGGTTCTATTCCCAGCACTGCAAAAAAGTAAACAATTGCATTAAAATATGACATATCCTGACTCCTAAGGGTTTTGACACCCCTTAAATTTTGCACCCACTTCACCCTAGTCCAGGTGGGGCCACTCATGAGGGCTGCACGCTGCGGGAGAGCCCCACTGCCCTGACCTTAGCTAGACTAGCAAAGGGAATTCCACCCTCCATCTCACGTTCCTGCTGCAGAATCCCAGGGTGGGCTCCAGAGCTAAGAGTCTGGCCCTGAGTTCAGCCGTGCGTTTCGCAGCAGGTGCAGAAACCGGCTGGGGCTGAGACATCTGGACAGAGGGACGAGCCTACAGGAAAGAGCAGGGGAGCAGAGCAGGGCTGGTGAGGAGGAGAGCAGTCTCCGGGTTCAGCATCCTGCCTGGAAGCTCTACAGGAGGGTAATTTAAGGAGGCTAGCCTTCCAGTTGAGGGGCTCCCGCCACTCCCCCTGTCCCCAGCTAGACTCAAATTCTGGAATCAGAGTGGGATGGAGCCTTAGGGGAGGTTAAAGAGCAAACAGGGCAGCCATCTTTCAGACGTGTTCATTCCGTCACCGCTCTGCCTCAGTTTCCTCATCTGCAGTTAGGCACAGCTACTCTGGCCCCAGGAATAATTAAGCCATGGTAGATGTTAAAGGGCCTGATACACAGCGAGGCACAATTTGTAGTGACTGGTAATAAGCCAGGTAGGAAGCAGAGCCCAGGAAGCAGCTCATTAAACAAGAGGTCAGGAGCACTGCTGCTCTGGAGCCAGAGAGGTGTGCTAATGAGGGTCTGTGAGCCCATACAGCTAGCAGCAGCAGGCAAGTGGGAGGGCATATGTGTATGTGTGTGTGGGGGGGGATGCGTGCATGTGTGCACATGCACGGGAATATAGTTGGGCCGTGCTTGGGATCCATGGTGATTGAGGTGGCTTCCTCCAGCAGAGCCTCTGTGCTACAGGCTGCTCCTCTTACCACCCTCTGTTCCAGGTCCCCTCTGAGCAGGCAGCTCCAGAGCTTCCAGACCAAGAGGATTCGAGGGAGCAGGGCCAGGAGACTAGGGGCAGGGGCTGGGAAGAAACTGGATGTAGGAGGGGAAGGGGGCAGAGACAGGAAGCGGCAGACCAGGCTGCTCATGGCATCCACGTAACCGTGTCCCTTGCTCTCTGTGCCCACAGGCCCTTCTCCTCCTGGGGCTGAACCCTGTCTCCACCTCCCTCCAGGACCAGAACTGCGAGAGCCTGTCCCTGGCCAACAACATCTCTGGTGAGTCTCCTACCCACTTCTGCAAGATGTAAGGTCACTACAGTGTCCCCTGCCACAGAACTCCCAAAGTCTGTGCACAGAACCATGCCTGGGGGCAGAAACGGCAGAGACTTCCCCTCCAGGACTCTAAGCTATTTGTCATGTCTCCATACTATCTAGGAGGATGCTAAAGCTGGGTGTCCATTTGGTGGGAAAGAGAACTAGTTAGCCAGCAGCCTGTGCTGTGGGCAAGTACCCCAAGCAGTCACTTCCCTGCTTTAGGGTGGGCCACAGGGGAGGATGTCCCAGCCCCTGCTGCCAGGCTGTGACTCGGACATCAGATGAGGGAGAAAGATTGCTGCTTTCTGCTGCTAAAAGTGCCCAGAATCACCTCCGTGGGCTGCTGACCGTGCTCCAGGCAGGACTCAAGGAATTCAAGACGTGTTAACCCCATGTGCATAGCGATCTTCTGAGGGGGCCACTGTTGTCCTAAATTTGACACATAAGGAAACTGAGGCACAGAGACACACTAGTAAGTGCCGGATCCCAAATGGAGCAGGTGGACATGCTCCGAAACACAGGGCTTTAGACCTCCCCAGTGGGAACTATTGCAAATGTTGCTCATGCCTAGAACTTAACTGCTTACAAGGGGCTTTTGTAGTATTATCTTATTTCATCCTCACAAGAGTTGAAAACCCGACATTCATCCCGAAGGGAAGTTTGAAGTGGGAAAGAATTTCTTAAGTCTCCCAGAAACACACCATCAGTGACTGGGACCCAAATCAAAGTCTTGGGGCTCCCAAGGCCAGGCCTTTGCTAACTTTGGGCATCATCCTGGGAATGTCTGGTACCAGGCAAAAATGCAGCAGTCTCCTACACCTAGGGGTCCTTGGGAGGGTTGATGTCTGTGGTGATTTAGTTCCTCCTCAAGGCTTTCCTTGATTCATTAGCTGAGCACCTACTCTGCAGCAGGCCCTGTGCAAGGGGGTAGGGGAGCTCCCAGCCTCCAGGTCCCCCGTGCAGGTACTAGAAGGCAGAGTGAGAGATGCACTGGCCGAGAGAGGGACTGGAGTGTGTTAGCAGAAGAAGGCATCAGTTTCTGCATCTGGGCCTGCAGGGACAGGAGGCTTCTGCAACTCAGAGCAGCTGTCACCTGGCCTGCTGTTCCTTCACCAGCCAGGGTTGGGGGAGAGGGGTGAGTGCTGGGCATGGGCAAGGCAGACTGACTTCTTGTGCTGGCTGATAGCGAGGGCTCAGGCATGTCCTGGCTAGGAGGAGGGAGATGGGCAACCACAGGGACAAGCATGCCTTTAACCCCTTGGAGCCAGGCTTTGTCCGATGCTAAAGGGAGAGGTGACTCCTGCCCCAGGACCTGTCAGAGGTCAATGGCACTGAGTTTGTGGCTGTTTCTGCAGAGTGTAGGCCACTACTGTGTACGATGATGGTTGCCTGTGTCAGATGGCTTTTAAAGGTGCTCTCTGTATAGCTAGAAAGAAGGGAAGGACCCTGTCATCAACTGCTTGTGACAGTGGCGGTGGCAGGAAGGCAGGACAGGGTTGGGGTGAATCCTAGCAGCCTTCCTAAAGGAGAGGGGTTTCAAGGTGAGTCTTTTTTTTGGGGGGGGTGCTGGGAATTGAGCGCAGGGCCTTGTGCATGCAAGGCAAGTGCTCTACCAACTGAGCTACATCTCCAACCCATCAGAGTGAGTCTTAAGAGAGATTCTGAGAGCTGGCAAAGAGCCAGCACCTGAGCCAAAGCAAAGGTGCACTGGGGACCAATAAGTAGGCTTGGCGGAAGGACCAGCGCTGGATGAGGAGGGAGGAACATTAAGCCTGGGGAGGTGCTGGGAGCCCACAGCATCAGGCTGCAAAACTGGCAAAGCTGGGCTCTAGGGAAAGGAGATTCACGCCCAGTCAGCAAAGAGGGAGATGGGGAGGGAGGAGGCCCAGGGGGAGTGACTGGGTACCAGGTCAGGCTCCATTAACTTGCTTGTTGTGTTCAAGAGGAGTGACATCCCCGAGCCCATGCAGGTGTCACCTGTCCTTGGCAGCAGCGGGCCTTGATGAATGGTATTCATTCCCTGGTGACTTGTACTGGGTGCCCCCACCCCCAGCCCAGCCTGCCTGGCTTTGTGGCGTGCAATCCATCACCCTCCAAACAGCCTCTGGTAACGGGCCATTTGTCTTCTGATGCCGAGACCTACCCAGAGCGATGGGCATTGGTAGAGACAGATGGTGAGGGTGGGGCCAAGGGGCCAGGACAGATGGATGGGCGTCTGGCTGGGGCAGCTGGCACTGAGCCGGGACTTTTGTGGGGGGGCTCTCACATGCTTCATGCCAGGAGCAGGGAGAGGCTGGTCCCCAGGGCTAAGGCCCATCATGTGGCATATCACAGACTTGGCAAACCTAAAATCATGGCATGAGGACGACCATGCCAGGAAGTGACAGAATTGCCAACTAACAACATCACAGACAAATGGAATCAGAGTTGACGAGGACCTGGGGTCATCAGTTCCCATTTCTGGCCTTAAGGAAGTGAATGTTAGTAATTACTTAGTGCCCACTATGTATTTTTTGGACACTACTCCAAGTGCTTCATATCATCCAGTATCACAAAAATATAGTCAGGAAGAATTTTTACCTGAAAGAGGAAACTGAGGCCCTGAGGGATTGAACAACTTGCCTGAAAACACACAGTTACTAAGACTGACAGCGAGTTTTGAGCCAAGTGGGTTTGATTTCAGACTTAACCACCAATATCACATTATGTGGCCACTCAGAGATCCATGGTGCTCAGAGTCCAGTGTAATCAGACATCGGGGGTATAGAGCCACCACTGAAGTTTCCCATACCAATACTGGATTTGCACATGGTCCCAGTTTTTTCTTAGCATCTACTATATGCCTGGCGCTATACTAGGTGTTGGAAATTCAGAGAGAAGAGTGTGCAAACCCCCAGGCCAGGAGGGTCTGTGGCATCTTTCTTCTCTGGCCAACCAAGAAGGAGGCAGCTCAATCATTAGGTGGCCAAGCAAAGACCAGGGCTCTGACTGCCCTCTGCTACCCTCTGTAAGCCGTGCCACCCTGGCAGATCTTCTTCCCACTCATCTCAGAGGTACATTCTTCTGAATGTGTTTCAGAGGTTGCTCTAGGGCCCCTGGCAGCTGCCACTCAAGGCAGCCTTTAAATTCAACCTCCCCTGGAGTTAAGCCAGACAAAGGGATAGGCTTCCCACCTGCCAGGATACTGCCAAGAACCCCTGCATCTTGTCCAGAAGCCCCTGATGGGAGCCAGGAGCCAGGTTCCAATTTCCTTCTGAAATTAGAGCACAGTTGGACCCTAAGACTAATGGGAAGGGAACTGCAAAAGAAACTAGGGCCCAGTTGGGCACAAGTCACCTTCAAAAGGTCTCTATTCTTATGTGAATGAGGGTGTGAGCCACCCAGCAATAAGGAGGTCAACACCTTAGGCACAATAAGCACCCTCCTGCCTCAGGGCTTTGTACTTCCTGCTCTCTCTTAGCTCCTAGAGCATACTGTCCCAGCTATGTTCCTTCCCTCGCTTCCTTTAGGTTTTAATTAAGTGCTATTATTTTATAAAAATGCTAAATTAAAACAGCACTGTCCGTCTTTATCTCCCTATAGTGCTTAGTTTTACTTCATAGTATTTCTCACTGGTTTGTTTGTTTGCTTATTGTCTCCCAGCCAAGTAGGACACAAGTACCATGCCGGCAGGGCATTTATCTTATTCATTACTTTACCTCCAGTCCTGGTTATTTCTTAGGTTTACCTAAGTGCTTCCTGAATAAAGAGCAGTCATTCTCTTCCGTCTGTACTCTATCTGACCAGGAGGGGCGCTTTTGGCAGGAGCTGCAGGAGGAGTTGGCTCCTAACTGCAGCTCACCTTTGCACTGTGGCTAGCCAATAGGCTCAGCTAGTGGCAAGGCTGGCTTACTCTGAATCAAACTGCTCCTCACCCAGAACCGTGAGGTCCAGGTGTAAGAATAACCCCAGGAGGGCAGAAGAGGCTGGACATTTGTGACAGTGGGACCTGGAGGGGATGTTGACCCAAGAATCCAAGTCCAGCAGCCCTGAATTGAGGTCCTTATTATGGTCACCAGGCTGTGACATGGAGACTTCCTTCCTGCCTTCTCCCTTGCCAGCTGGTAGATGGACACCCTCCCTATCTTGTGAAATCATCTGTCTTCCTGGCTTTCTCTCTGCGTCTTGCTCTCTTATCCTTAGTGTCCTTAGTGTCTTTTTTTTTAAAACTCTCTTCCCCTCTTCTCTCTCTCCCTTCCTTTCTCCCTCCACCTGACTTGTCTTCTTCCCTCCCCACCCCTCTTTTCTCCCCCTCAAAGAGTGGCTAGGGAGATTGAAGGAATGGCTGAATTGCCTAAGGTAAAGCGCCCTTCACAGTGCCTGGTATACAGTAGTGTTAGACAAATGTTGGTTCCCCTGCCCCGAGTCCTGTACACCAGTCCCCTAAGGGACACCCCCCACCCCCGCTCTCGTCCTTCCCGGATGCGGATGCGGTGTCCACCGGGCGGTGAGCTGAGGTCTTGTATGTGCCACTTGAGGGACTGCGCCCGGGAACACAGTGCCCGAGGCCCTCTCTTGCTGCCTCCTCCCTGCCTTTGACCTCCGGGTCCCCTTCCCATCGTCCACTTTTCCTTTACTCCCTGTTCTCTTGCTGCCTCTGCCTCCTCTTGTACTTTAAAACCACAGGCCAAACTCCTAGCGCAAGTTCAGCCGCTCTTTCCACGCTCTGCCGCAAAGCCCCGCCCCACATGACTGACCACGCCCCTCCTAGGACCACGCCCATCCAGCCTTGAGTCCCAAGCATGCGTGCTGCGTGCTGGTCTGACTCTGGAGCAAGGGACGTCTTTGTCGCCTACCCCTTGTATTTGGCTTCTCTTCTTTGCCCCTGTAGCCTTCCTTCCTCTCTTCCTGCCTCGCACACAGATTTCTACTCCATGAAGGATTTTCTGGGCTCTTAATGCAAAGGCCCCAGGCGCCACTTCCGTGCAGTTTCCACGCAGTCTACTTCGAGCGACTGGAGGCGCGGGCAGGGACCCGAGGGCAGCCCCAGAGAAGGCAGAGTCTTCTCTGAGAGAATGTGCGTTAGGCATGTTTCAGACACTACCACCTATGGCATCCCTTTTAATATTCCCAGTGCCTAGCTCAGGAGATACAGTGACCGAATGAATGAATGTACAACCTGTGAGGAAGGAACAATGACATCATTCGCACCTGGTGCGTGCTGGCACCCAGTCAGCCCTAAATGCTCCCTTCCCTGTTGCCTCCTTGACTGCCCCCCTCACACACACTTTATTGCCACACTATATGGTGCAATTGAAAGAATGCTTAGTTTAGAGTCAAAAACATCAGGCTGAGCCAGGTGCAGTGGCACAGGCCTGTAATCTCAGTGGCTCAGAAGGCTGAGACAGGAGGATCGCGAGTTCAAAGCCAGCCTCAGCAAAAATAAGGTACTAAGCAATTCAGTGAGACCATGGCTCTAAATAAAATACAGGGCTGAGGATACAGCTCAGTTGGTAGACTGCTTGCCTTTCATGTGCAAGGCCCTGGGTTCAATCTCCAGTACATCTCCCCCCACCCAAACAAAAAAATCAGTCTGTGAGTCTTGACTCTTTTACACTTTGACTTATGACCTTGGACAAGTCACTCAACATCCATGGGCTTTGATTTCCTCATCTATAAAGGATGGGGGGAGGGTAGACATTGGAGGAGACATTGGAGGTTGGATGAGGACCTAAGAGACGAAGAGCTTTGAAAAAAGCAGAGCGTAGTTCACAATTTTATCCCCCTCCCCGCCGCCACATGCCCCTGGCGTCCCCTCCTCTGGGTTCAGCACTATCAGCATGATCCATGACAGATTGAAATCCCAACCTGGCACACCAGGGCATTGCAGAGTGCTGCCTTCCTCACTCCCCCACTGCTCTGCGATGCCATCAGGAGGCTCAGCTGCAAAACAGCACCCTCCTGGCCCACCCCAGCACCTGGCCTGCCCCAGCTCTGGCCCCTCCAGTCCAGATTCTTTCTTTTAATTAAGCCACTGGCCTTGAGATCTCTGCCCCCTGAGCCCTGATTTGCACAAATGCCCCATGAATCGCTTTGATCAGAAGGAAAAGCCAGCATTTGGTACCCATGTAGCTCTGCACTGCCCTGATCCAGCAGGAAGAGGAAGCCAATTTAGCCCTCTGCTGTTTCCTGAGATTGGAGACAGGCTAATTTGGGGAGGAAATGGCAGACAGGCAGCCAGGGCTTGGCAGCTGCTGATGCCCAGCCCCAAAGAGGCTGTCCCCTACCTGTATAGATCATGGCTCCCTGGCTTGTCTGTACATTTTGTGCCAGTTCCAAGTTATTAACCCTTTCTGCCATGATGGGACAATGGGTCTCAGCAGGACTGGTGAACCAACCTCATGCCCAAAGGGGCGTAAAGGCAGAGAAAGAGGGGAAGCACCGGGGAGATGCCAGGACCATGCAGGGGTGCTTAGCCCCCACCCTGGAGACTATTTCCCCCTACCCTCCAGAAATGTCACTGAGGCCTCAACTCTACCCCAACACACACACACACACACACACACACACAATGTCTCTCCCTCTTTTTCCCCACTCCACCCTAAAATCTCTTTATCAGAGGAAAATATTAATGTTTGAAGGGGCCTTTAATAATCTTTTTCTAGTTCAACTGTTTATGAGTCTTCAGAATCACAGACCCCCTGGATCATCTAATAATAGCCGTAGCATCCTTTCTCCATTAGAGCGTGTATACGCCAAAGTTTTCATTATATTCCAGGTCTCTATGAACTCCTGAGATTCCCAATGGATGGAGATTAAGGATTTCTGATCTCAAACCGGGGGTGTAGCTCAGTGGTAGAATTCTTGCCTAGAATGTGTGAGCCCCTGGGTTCAAGCCCCAGGACTGAAAAAAAAAAAAACCAATCTAATCCAACCACTTCATTTTATTCTAGAAGAAAACAAGGCCCAGTGAGATTTGCCTATGGTCACCCAGCAAATTAGTGGCAGAGCCCATTCTGAGCCATGGGCCCAGACTCCCAGCTCAGTGCCCTGAAGGTGTCTCCTCCCTTTTCTCCCCATGGGCCCAGGTCCCAGTATAGACCAGAGCACAGGAAACGTGTGCTCAGTAAGTGTGGCTGTCAGACCAGCTGGTCGACCTGGTTGTGCTGCATCTTCCCTGCGGGGTTAGGGCAGATGTAGTTTGGTTCCAGAAATACATGAGGAGCCTGGGTCAGGAGTTGACTGGACCTGTTCCAGAGTGTTCCTGTGAAGTTTTGGAGCTCTAGTCTGATACCAAGGATGGGGTCAAAAGATGTGTCCCCAAGAACAGGGGACCTGAAACAGACCCAGCCATCTTCCAAATTCCAACCAGGACCTTAGATTTCAACTCCACTTCCAGCCATCTCTGTTTCTCCTCTGTTCTAGAACTCATGCTGGCTCCAGACTCCTTCCCGGGTGTCTCCTCTCATAGACAGGCTCATTTCTGCACCCGGGGCCATTGATTTTGTCCTGTCTCTATGTGATTGGGAGCAAGTGGGGGGAGGGGAAGGGCTATGGAGGGTCCTCTGCCTAAGGAAGGGGTCCTGCTCTGCTTACCAGTCATCTCTGTCCCCAGGCCTGCAGTGCAACGCCTCCGTGGACCTCATTGGTACCTGCTGGCCCCGGAGCCCTGCAGGGCAATTGGTGGTGCGGCCCTGCCCTGCCTTTTTCTACGGTGTCCGCTACAATACCACAAGTAAGAAGAAGGTAGAGGGTGGACATCTGCTGGGGTGGGGTGGGAAGAGCTTGAAAGTGGGGAAATAACAAGCTATAGCTATACTAATAATACCTTTTGAGGGTACCACCACCACTGCAAAGCCCACTCTGGCTGACTCTCACAATACCAGGCAGCACCATCTGGCATAAAGCTAAGCCTTCGAGGCTCAGAGAGGTTAGGGAACTTGCCCAAGGATTCCAGCTGGTAAGGGGTAAAGCTGAAATGTTTGTGTGACATTTTCTCCTATAGTTGCCCATCTTTGGATTAGTCTATTGAGACCCACAGCAACCCCATGAGGTAAGGCAGGGATCTTTCAAAGAGCCCCAACTTTGCAGATGATAGCTCAGGGCCCTCCAACCAGGACATGGAGCAGGGGCTTCACTGCCTCTCAGGGGTGCAGTGGGGCAGGACTGACCCAGGGCTGTGCAGATACTTGATCCCCTGTAAACACCGCGCTCCCCTGAGGCCCCACACATTTGCGCCAGGCTTTGCAGCTCCTTGCTATAGCACCTGCCACCCGCAGAATTAATTTGCTCTCTCCTGTCAATGACTCAGATCCCTGCATATGGAGAGAAGAACAGCTGCAGACCAGGGGCCCTGACTCACCCGAGAGAAGCTGGGGATGGGGTTCCCTGCCTTGGCCTTTGGATCCAGTAGGCCTGAGCCCAGAGCCCCAGGAGTGTGCCAAAGACGACTGCAGATGCTAGTGGTCCACTCTAAGACTTGTTGCATGATCGCTGCTCATATTTTTCCCTCTGCTGGGGCAGATTCCCCTCTGAGGATTGAGGGGGCTGGATGACCTGGTTTCTAAGGCTTCTTCCAGCTTAAAGCCCTCCTGCCCCTTTTTCCTTTACAAGACAGAATTAAATTTGGGGGCTATGCCAAGGAGGCGTGGGAGGACTGGGAGGGTGACTGTGACCCTCTCCTGGGGGCTGCTAGGGCAGAACAGGAGGCTGGAACAGCCCTTCCAAGCCTCTGTGTTCATCTGTAACCATATGCTGGCTATAGGAGGGATCAGGGAGGAGAAGAAGGACTGGGAGGAATGTGGGGACTAAGGAGAGGAGACCCAGGTAGGAGAAGAGGAGCAGGGCCTACGAGGCCAAGGAAGCCAAAGAGGAGAGTTTGCATCGAAGTGGGCCAACCTCCAATTTAGGAGGGCTCATTTTGAATAGTGAGATTGAGGCACAGAGAGATTAATAACCTGCTGGAGGTTAGAAAGCTTGGAGGCAGAGTCAGGCCCAGAGAGCCAGAGCCTGCCCAGAGCTCCGCGTACCATGCTGAGATCTTCAGGAGTTCCTGGGACAGCTGCAGTTCCAAAATTGGCATGCCGGAACATCTGGCCTCCCCTACAGCAACCCCAGAACCTGCTGGTCCCAACCTCCCTGATCTCCTCCCCAGTGCCGCTGCCCACTCTCAGGCACCCTAATCTCCAACCATAGTTCTGAATCTGAACCTGTTACCCTCACTTGGAATGCACACTCTGTGGCTCCCTGTTGAGTCCCTCCTCCTGCGTGGGCCTGCGAGCTCTTGCAGACATGGTCCTGCTCATTTTTGCACCCAGTCCTGGCTGCTCCCCATAAGCACCCTATACTCTTGTCCCCCAGGGTTACTTTACATGCCCCAAATAATCACCGTTAGGCCTTAGTGCTGGGCATGTGCTACTCAATTTGCTGGCCCTGCCTTCAGTGGAAACCAGGAATCCTGGGTTCCAGTGCCAGCCCATCTGTCCCTCTGCCCTGGTCCTCTCTGGGCCTTGGTTTCTCTACCTGCAGGATGGGGATTGGGCTGGCAAGGTGCCCTCTAGGCTCCTTGCTTTTCCTTCTGTGACTCCAGGAAAGAAGCAGGGGCCCCTAGATGTGGGGGACATTTCCGGGCAGGGCTGGAAGATCCCCTTTGCGGGTTGTCCCAGTGCCAGATGATGAGGAATGTGCCTGCCTGTGCCATCAGGAGGAGTGGAACCAGAGCTGCTCCCAATCATTAGGCACTAATTAATTCATTTACTGATGAGGTGTTGCCAGGATTTCTAGGCTTCTCCTTAATGCCCTCCCTCCTGCTCATCAGATCTTCAAAGGGATGGGAAACATTTCCAAAAATATCTATTTTCCCGTGATTCTTTGGGAGGACTGCTCAGCTCAGCAATTAAAGACAAGGAGGTCGCATCCTCCCTGGCAACGGCACCCAGCGGGTGGGGCCTGTTTTCCTTCAGGGTCACCTCCTCTCTCCAGGTCAAAGCCTGTTGCCTAGGATGGCCCGGCCCAGAGAGGGATTCCACGTGCCCCACCCCCTGTGTGAGGTGCCCTCCCATTAGCTCCACCAGCACCCCCTTTGATCAGGACAAGTGGCACGTTCTGAATGTTATATAAGGTAATATAAATATCGCTCCAAGACAATAATAATAAACATCACGGCGACACCATATGTCAGGCACGGTTCTAAGTACTTTGCACATGGTAACTAAAAACCCTGCACCAGTGAGGTGGAAGTCATGACTAGGTCGGCTCTATCTCATGAATAAGGACACTGAGAGATTGAGTGACTGGCCCAAGGTCACACAGCCGGTGGGGGTGGCACCAGGGTCTGCAGGAAGCCTGCCTGGGTGGAGGGCTCAGCTCTGAACACTCTTTCGTGCTGCCTCTCTTAAGGCAAAAACTGCATCCACAACCCTCTGCCCCCACGCCCTTCTCACCAGGTCTCTGCCCCCAAGCCCCTCTCTTTGCAGACATTCCAGAGCAGCCTCTGGTCCCAGGTAGTTCATGTCCACTGTAGAAATGCTGTATCGTCATTTCTGCCCAGGGCTCGGCACTGCACCAGACCAAGGTCCACTCACAGGGAGGCTGGGCAGAGCTTTACAAATCCGCCGAACCCCATTTCCCTTCCAGTTCCCCACAGCCAGAGCTGCTACTTGGGTTAGAAAGGAGGCCATCGCCTTTCAGTCCAGGAGGCCAAGTTGAGGCTCCTTCTCTTGGGGTCAGCATCCACTTTCCTGCCCCACCCCCCAGCATCTCCCTCTGGTCCCGATGCTGCCAGCAGAGAGGCAGCTCCAGGCTGATGGTCCCATGGGAACCGTTGGAGCAGCTCCCTTTTATAAATGAGGAGAGGGCTCTGGCTTCCTCCCAGGGCTCTGTCCCTAAGGGTTTCCAAGCCCAAGACTAGAACTCGGGCAGCTCCCTCAGTCCTCCTCCAGCTCTGTGGGTCAGTGAGAGCCACAGAGAGGCCTGCAGAGGCCAGCAGAGATGGCTCAGGGCTCATTCTCTTTTGCAGTCAATGAATTAAGTCAAGGAAACAGGATAAAGCTACTGATGCCAGAGAGGGATCTGGGGTGGCATAGGACAGCCTCACCAGCAGCAGAGGAGGCAAGAGAGAACTTAGAACCCCTCTGTCCCTTCCCTTCTGAATTTATGTCCCTGGTGTCCAGGGGGAGGGGATCAGGTAGAAAGGCCAGTAAAAGGGACCCTTTAGGCAGCTCTGCCCATCCCAGAGCTCCAAAGCCAGGCAGCAGCCCTTAGGGTTTCTTGGAAGGTGACAGTTTGGGGCTCAGTTCAGGCTGATGGCTGCACAGACACCCACCCTTCCCAGACCATGCTCCTGCCTTCTTTCCCAAGTGCCGCAGGCCAGGCCAGGAGCAGTTGTAGTGGGTTCTAGTGCAATAAGATCACTACCACGCAAGACTCACCCGGTCACCTGACATTTTCTGTCCAAGAATCCACCCCCATGTTCCTACCACATGACCCTCCAAAATAAAGCCTGCTTTGGGGCAATGCCACCAGGGGACCTTCCTTGAGAACTGCCCAGTGAAACCCCACCCCACATTAAAACCTGCCACACAAGAACCACCCATGGAAACCTCCACCACCCACAGACCTACAAGGAACCATGTCATTTAAATCCACTTGAGCTGTCACCACGTACCTTCCACCAGATCCTGCCCAGCTGTGTGAGACTGACTCAGGGACCTCATCCTCCTTTTCTGCGTGACTCCAAATGGGAGCATCTCAGAAGAGCACCCGCCATGAAATCCGCCACCTTATCAGGGCCTAGAGGAAGGCACCCAAGGGGTAGCCATGCTTGTTCACAGGCCAGTTCTGTGGCAAGGTCATGTCAGCTTCGGGGCAGAGCCGTGTCACCCAGAGGCAGTGGCTGCTGTAGCCCTGTGGGAGATGAGTGGATGGGCAGGAAACGGGGTGATAAGAAAAGCTTCCATCCAGAGGCCCAGTGCTGGCCCAGATGAATGGATGGACAGACAGACAGACAGATGCCAAGCTATCACAGCTCTCTTCTTTTTCCAGACAGTGGCTACCGGGAGTGCCTGGCCAATGGCAGCTGGGCCGCACGTGTGAATTACTCTGAGTGCCAGGAGATCCTCAGTGAGGAGGTGAGCTGAGCTGGGCAGGCTGCCACACTGAGGGGTCGGCCAGGAACCCCAGCGTGAGCTGGATGTGAAGTGGTCAGCTGGGGCCTGGGGGGCAGAGGTGATGTCAAGGCCCTGCCCCAGGGAAGATGACCGGCAGCTGCTGGGCAAGCTGTACAGGGACAAGCAGGTCCCGGTTCCTTCCCCCCGTGCCCACTGGAGGCTGCCTGCTGGGGTGTAGTCAGTTCAGACTACAGACATGGTTGTGGGGTTCGCACCCATTTCTACCCCACACACCTGAGCAACACCAAGGTCCATGAGGACTGTCAGAACCAGACATGGAAGTAGGGGTAGTGGTGCCATTTTAAAAAGCCCCGGAGATCCTTTTAAAAATTTAAGTGTTTTGAGTAGATACTGCTTACACATAATATAAAATTCAAAAAGTACAGATGGGAATACAGTGAAAAGTCTCCCTCCCACCCCTGTCCCCAGCCAGTGGATTCCCTCCCCAGAGACAGCTGATTTGCCACTTTCTTGAGTGTTGTTCTGTACATACAAGGAATTACGTGTGCGTGTACTTTTTTGGTTTTACCCAGATGTCACATATCATACGTGTTCTTTGACACCTTGCTTTTTTCATGTAGCCATCTATCCTGGAGACCATTCCGTGTCACTACAAAAGAGCATTTTCATTGTTTTTACATTTGCACAATGCCCCATGGTCCATCTATGCCATAACTTACTGAACCGACCTTTATTCTCAGTCTTTGGTCCTTACAAACAGTACTGCCATGAATTCTCTCTTCCGGTGACATTTGGCGGAGGCACGAACGTCTCCATCCAGTGTTTCTGCTACCTCTGTCCCCCTCCGCCCTGTCCCTCCACCTCTACTCCCTTTATCCACAAGTGCTGAGGGAGACGGGGGTCGTGGGCTGGAAGAAATAGAAAATGTAACCGAAAAGCAAAGTGAGCAGAAAGCAAAGGGCAGAAGGGAAACCATCCCAAGCCACCAGGGCCCCTGACTCCTGGAGCGAGGAAGAGGCTGGTCTAGGCAGTCTTGAGGATTCATTGCCTTCAAGATCTGAGTTGGAAAGGACCCTGGAGACCTTCCGTCCCATCTTGAGGTTCCCAGCCCTGCCTGGTGGTAATTAATCACACGAGAGCACTTGTTAGCCGCAGAGCTACGCCCAGCACCCAGTAGCTCAAGCTGCCCAGAAGAATCTGGGAATTGGTATTTTTAACAAGTGCCACCAGGGGAGCCTGCTGTTGGGGCCAAAGTGGGAAACCTGGATCTGGTCCAACACCTTCACTTCACAGAAGGGGAGACTGAGGTCAGGGAAGTGGACAGGCTTGCACAAGGTCACGTAGCTAGAACCTGGAACCCGGGGCTTCGGAGTCCAGGTACCTGAATGAAGCAAGGTGGTTGCAGAGAGGAATCTCCTCCCCCCCCCTCCAGCCCTGAGCACTCTCGTAAGCCCCTCCCGGTTCCTTGAGCTGCTCAGAAATCTCCTTCCAGAAGTTGCAAAGGCAGGTCACTGCTTAGCCTAAATAATGACCAGCTCTTTCACAGTACTGCTCTGGCAGGGCAGCGGAGTTCCTTGGGGTGCAGGATGAGGGGTTTCCTGCCATCTCAGATTTCACAGGTCAGACCTGGGCTGGGCTGGCTTGGCCCAGCATCCCTACAGTCACACCTGAGCCCCGAACATCCTGACTGTGAGCCGACCTGGGCGGTCCTGGGGCTGGGGAAGGAGCACCCCCCTGGACTGGAGGAGGGGTATAGGGTCCAGATTAGGAAAGTTGACCAGAGGAGATGGCCTTGGGTGGGTGGTGGGATGGCCAAGAACCACTCAGAGGGATGGAAAACGCTCCCTGGCACACAGTAGAGGAGATGAGACGGAAGGAAATGGGGCTTGGGCTCAGAAAAGCAGATCTGTGCTGTGGTGGCTCTTGAGACCATTGTTCCTGCCCAGTGAGGGTGGCGTGGGGAGGTGCAGCTGGGATTGCATCTGTCTTGCAGGACAGATCTTCATCGCACCCACCTGAGGTCTGAGAGCCCTGCTGGATCTGCCATGGCAGACGTCTCTAGCTGTCCCACCATCAGACAGAGGGGCAGACAGTTGTGCCTTTCTTGGACATTGTCAAAGCTGCAGTGGCCCGAGCTGCTCTCCTACCTGACCCCCACATCTGAGCCTCCTGATTGTCAGGGTGAGGTCAGGGTTCCCCGTCTCTCCTGCTCTATCTTAAGACCCTTCCTTCTAGTTGGCTGATGAAGGACACTCAGCAGCCCGATTCCCCCCAGCTCTCTTCAAAGACTCCAGGGCAGGAGGTTGGTTGCCTCAGTCCTCCTTTCTTCATGCCCTGGAGGCCCCACCTCTGCCTGGGACCTAGGACTCTCCCTCTCTCCACCAGCAGGTTAGGCCAGAAAGGAGGAGAGCATCATTTCTCACGAGCACCCCCACTTTGGCAATATAGTGGGAACAGCATGGCCTTCAGGGGCAGACAATTTGGGGTTTGGAATGATCTTTTATTGTTTGTTTTTGATACTCAAGATTTAACCCAGAGGCACTTTACCTCTAAGCTATATCCCCAGCCCTTTTTGTTTTTTTAATTCAAGGTGGAGTCTCACTAAGGTGCTGAGGCCAGCCTCAAACTTGGGATCCTCTTGTCTCAGCTGGAATTACAGGTCATTGTGTGTGATCTTGAGCAAGTAGCTTCACCTCAGTCCCCTACAGGGGCTGAGAATAATTCAGTGGCTGTCCCCTGGAGGTTGGGAGGGGGCTGCCTTGGCCTATGGAAGGTACCCACTCATCTGCTACCTCTCTGCCTCTCACCACCGGGGAGATCAGAGGAGTTGGTGGTGTACACAGGAAGGGATGAGAAAACTGTAACAGGGACCCCCTTTCTCTGTCTTGGTGGAACTGGCCTGCTTGCTTAGCTACTCTGGAATCAATTAATTTAATTAGTGAAAACAGCATCCCTTCTGAGCCCCTCCAGATGTTGATAGGCTCCTTCTCCTCCCAAGAGGCTTAGCCCCTTTCTCTTGGAGCTGCAAAGAGAAAGTTTCCAATTGGGTGAGTGGCAGGCTGGGCTAAGCCCTAATGAAGTACCAGCGCCCTGGGGTGGAGCAAGTCTGTGAAATGGGACACCCAGATTCCAGGTGCCCACAGCTAGACCACCAAAGGACAGGTCCCTAATTGGAAAGCCTGATTCATGCGTGGCCCAGCCAGGGGTCGGCAGCAAGTCCCCAGCATGGCTCTGCACCAGTTCCCAGTATCAGTCCCCGCTACACACAGCTGTGACCTCTACTGTGCCCTTCCCCACTGTCCCCAACTCTCTCCTGCTCCCTTGAATGCACTCAATGCCTTCCCTTATGCTCTGCTGAGCACATGGAATCTGACCCTCGTGCACATCCTGGAAGGACAGTAAAGGTACTTACTCTGGGGATCTGGGGATCTGGGCCAGGACAAGGGTTTCTGAAACATGGTGCTTAGGAACCACGTGGGCTTCTTGCTAAAATGAAGATTCCAATTCTGAGCATCTGGAGCGAGGCTAACACTCCACTCTTCTCAAGACTTCTGCAAGCTTCTGGATGCTGATGTCGCTGGTTCAGGGACCATGCTTAACAGAGCAAGGGATTGGGAATCTGTTGGCAAGGCCAGGGGAGCAGTGCAGGAAGCCCAGGTGGAGAGGAAGAGACAACGTGGGTGGGCAGGGATGAAGAGATGAGACCAGGGTGAGTGGAGGGAGCGTGGAATCCTCCTTGCTGCCATCCGGTCAGGCATAAGGACGGGTCTGACACCACCGCCATTTTGGACACGATAGTGTCTTGGAGACTCTGCTCAAAATCAACCAAGCAGTAATTGCTTGTGAGATTCTGGTCATGGAGGGCATAGCACAGTGGTCTCTGCCCAGTGCCCCTCTGTGTCACCTGCCTCAGGGAACCTGCTGGTCTTAGGTATGCAAACTGGATGGGACAGAGTGCTGGTCAGCCCCCTGAGGTTGGCTTTTCCCATGTCCTTTGGGCATCCAGCTGCTTCTGCAGTTCTTGGTGGCTGTCCCTCAAGCAGTCACTGTCTCTGGGTGTCCCTGGTCATCTCTTGGAGGGTCATTGGCTGTCCCTCGGGGTGTTGCTGGTTATTCTCCTCAGGTGTCATCGGCCACCTCTCAGGGTATCACTGGCTTTTTCTTGGGGGACGGTCACTAGCCATCTCTCGGGGTGTTGTGAGTGTCTCTCAAGGAGCAGTGGCTCAGGACCGGGCTGGCCAAATCTCTTGTTAGTGGTAGAAGTTTCTAGGTGTCTCTGGCTGTTCTGTCCATGTGTCAACTGGAAAGACTGATCTTTCAGAGTGTTTGCGACTGTCTTAGTCTGTTCTGTGCTCCTGAGACGCACACCTGAGACTGGGTAGTGTGTAATGAACAGGAATGTCCTGGTTCTGGAAGCTGGAGATCCAGATGGGGGACTGGCACCTTTGAAGGCCTTCTAGCTGCATCATCTCCTGATGGGAGGGCAAAGAGGGGAGAGGGAGCAGGTGGGGCCCACACTCACCCCTTGCAGGAAGCACCCATTCCCACGATGACAGCAGCAACCCATTCATGAGGGTGGTGCCCTCAGCTCCTGACACCTCTGACAGGTCCCACCTCAAACCCCTCTGTCCTGGGGCTCAAGTTCCCCACCCATGAACTTTGTGGGACACATCCATATCTCAACAGTGGTCCTCTGTCGGGTATCTCTGGCCTCTCTTAGTGGCGCTACTGTCCCTCCAGCCATCTTCTCCAGCTGTTTCTCACTTGTATCAGGCCAGAGGTGGCTTGAACTCAGCCAGACACATCTCAGGAAGTCACGTGGAACTTCTGTCCCCCGGGAATGGTCCCTGTTGTCACTTTTCACTTGAAGAACACTCGGCAGCTCCCGCGCCCCCTGCGGAAGCTCTCAGAGGATTCTGGGCCCAGCCTGGAGGAGAGCTCCCCAGACCGCACCTCGGTTGTCCATCCCTGCTCGTCCCCCAAGAAATGCACAAAGCCAGGTTTAAATTGCTGGCTGGGTAGCTTGGGCCGGTCATCCAGTCTCTTCAATGGGAAAACAAGGACTCAAAGACCAGTCTCTGAGCCCAGTTGTGAGAAAGAAAAGCAATGACATTGGAGAGATGCCTGGCTCAGTGCTCAGCATCCAGTAGGTGCTTAATAAATGACTCCTCCCTACCCCAAACCAAACAATCCAGGCCCAACCTGATGGGCCCAGGCAGGGCCCCTAACAGATGGGCTCCCTGTGACTCTGCTCACTTGTCCCACCTGGGCCTGTGAGTGAAGCCAGGATGTCCTGCTGTTCGTGGCTCCGCAGATGTTGTCATTACCCAGGGGCTTCTCAGCATGGATTTGTGGAAATTTTAATAAAAGGAAATTAAGTCCCAGCTCCAGACAGGCTCTGATGTGTGTGTGTGTTCTGGAGCCTCAGGGTTGTGGCATCTGCCAGAGGCGCTTAGAGACCTCTGCATCTGCAGCGGTGGCTCAGGCCCCCTCTTTGTCCCCACCTTGTCCCTCTGTATCTCCTGCCCTGCCTCCATGGGTCCCAGCCCTTTTGAGGCTGGAGTTGCTAATGTGATTTCGTGGCATGTCCTTGAAAACCTCTATCCCCAAAACCAGTTCCCTCCTGGCCCCGTGGGCTTCCTGGGAGGATGTCTCTTTGGAAGGGGTGCCGAGGGCAGGGAGAGCATGGGCCGGAGGGCGTGGCCCCTCTGAGATGCCTGCTAGGTGTCCCTTCTTATGTGTGTTTGGGCCTCGGTTTCTTCATCTGGAGAATGGGCAGGGCTGCTGCCTTGGAGCAGCTCTGACTTCCGTGGATCCTGTACTTCTGGCAGGAAAGTCCGTGAAGAGCCAGGAGCTCTGCAGTGCTCCGTAAGGGTGAGCAGAGCCTCTGCCAGCCCGTCCTTTCTCGGGTTTGCATATGGCCAGTTCCTGTGCGTCGCAATCCCCTAGCCCCACCCCAGACCAGCAAAGGGTAAGGGAGAGGGATGCCAGAGGGACCCCCCTCTCCAAGCCGGCTGTTTCCGTCTCCCCCGTTCCTTCCTCATAATCATGGAGCCCAGCTGTGTGCCAGGCTCTGGGTTTCTAGGCGGTACGTTCCTGGGACCCAGAAAAGAGTGAGGGGGGCTATGCCCTCAGCAGGGCAGAGAGCGAGCCCTGAGGACCAGCCAGCCCCTCGTTGTAGGGCGGGAACCTGTTCAGAGTCTTCGCCCCTTGATCTGCAGGTGCAGATACCAGGCAGTTTGGAGGTCAGAGCGGGGAGACCTGGAGGGAGTCCACATGCTTCTGGGGCTCTTTCTATAAAAGAAGTGACAGGTGCCCCTCTGACCCTTCCCTTGGGGTCACCTTGAGGGCCTGAGAACATAACAGACATAAACCCCTCTGTGACTGCTAAGACTTCCTGTTCTTGGAGCTTAAGATTACTGGAAGGATGGGGGCAGTAGTTTCCTTGTGGATGTTAAATTAATTAAAAAATAAAATTAGGGAATTTGAGAGATCCCATTCACTTTGAGAAGCCCTGGGTAGGGAGAGGGAAGGCCCTAGGAAGGGAGCCACAGAACCTAGACAGGTTTCCTTGGTGGCTAACGATTCTGATCCACAGTGCTGCTCCCCCCTCTCCTGGCAAATAAGAGCTGGCCGCAGCTACAGAGAGACTTAGGAGTGACCAGGAAGATGGTGACACAATACAAAAATGGGTGGAGGAAAGAGGTCTTGGAGAGCTGAGGTCTCTGAACCCACCAGGGCCACCAGGGGTTAGGACAAGATGGCAGCGTGGACAGGTGTGAGCCTGGAGCCCACTGTGGGCGGCATTCCCAGGGTGTTATGTAGAGAGGCCATTTAACCCAGATTTTCCCAACAGCACAAAGCAGTAGGCAGAGCCCCAGATTCAGGGACAGACTGGCTTCAGCTGGACAGTGCTGCTCCAGAGCAGTGCTCGACACCCAGGAGGGCCTGGGGAGGGGGCGCCCCAGCATTTCCACCCACTCTGTCCCCGCTGCCCTGAGCGCTTTGTCCAGCGGGTGCAGGGGCATGGCTATACAGGAGCCTCACCTCCACCCCTCTCTTCTGCTTCAGAAGAAGAGCAAAGTGCACTACCACGTCGCCGTCATCATCAACTACCTGGGCCACTGCATCTCCCTGGTGGCCCTCCTGGTGGCCTTTGTCCTCTTTCTGCGACTCAGGTGAGAAGATCCTGGCACTGCCTGCTGCCGTCCCTGGGTCCTCGAGCAGGGCAGGGGAAGTAGGATGCAGGGCAGCCCTGGGCTTCTGGGAAGGGGGCATTGCCTCTGCCTTCAGTGGGAAGAGGGTGGCATACGTGGGGGTCTTGGGGGTCTTGGAGCTTCAGGAAGAGCCTGTCCTGGAGGCCTGTCCCTCTACAGAAACTACTGAAGGGGGCAGTGAGGGGGGACAAAGCCCAGGCTTCCCTGTGTCGCCCACACCTTGGCGGGTCTGTACCCATTTCTGGAGACTGCGCAGGTGGAGCCCTGGAGGTGGGGTGCCAGGAGTGACCTCCCCACTTTAGTTTCAAATGTGCCACGGCCGTGGAGTGGGGGCAGGTGGGGAGCAGCAGGGGCTTCCCCTTGGAGACCTGTCCTATTTGCTGACCCTCTGCTCTCAATCCTGAAAGGGCTGGAGTGGAGGGGCACCTGCCAGGGGAAGGGGCACCCACAGTGAGCCCGGTCCACAGAGCATGCCCTGCCCTGCCCAGGAGCTCACGTTTGGGTGGTCACAGTCAGGAAGGGCCACACAGGGCATGGAAAGAAGCTTGCTGCCTCCTCCCTCTGTGACTTAGCCAGCCAGCCCCACTCTCTCTGAGCCTCAGTTTCCCCAGCCACATATCCGGACTGCCGTGAGGCTGGCGGCCTGTCACTCATTCTCTCTCTCTCCTCTTGTCATTCTGGTCATCTGCCTGCCCCTGCTGTCCCAGGAGTATCCGGTGCCTGAGAAACATCATCCACTGGAATCTCATCTCGGCCTTCATCCTGCGCAACGCCACGTGGTTCGTGGTCCAGCTCACCATGAGCCCCGAGGTCCACCAGAGCAACGTGGTGTGTCCTGGCAGGGGGAGCCAGCATGGGGACAAGCCCAGGATCAGAGGAGGGGTCCAGGCCAGGCCTCGTGCCCATAGAACAGGAGTGGGATCCTGAGGAGACCCCAGGTCCGGGGTGGGGTGCTGTCACTGCCCCCGCCCCCACTCATCCTCACCTGTCTTTTGGGGGGGGGCGGACAGGGCTGGTGCAGGTTGGTGACAGCTGCGTACAACTATTTCCACGTGACCAACTTCTTCTGGATGTTTGGCGAGGGCTGCTACCTGCACACGGCCATCGTGCTCACCTACTCCACCGACCGGCTGCGCAAGTGGATGTTCATCTGCATTGGCTGGGGTGAGCGGGGCGGCCCCCGCCCCAGGCCGGACGCTGCAAACCCTGCTGCCCCCTCCTCACCCGGAGTCAGGCCAGCGGCCGGGGCCTGGGAGCTGGAGGCCAGGTTGGATGGAGGGGTGTGCACCTCCTTGGGGGTGGGGACAACAGGACCATCATGAAGGTGTGTGAGCTCAGACTCAACCCCTGGTAACCCCACCCCACTCTAGGCCCTGGGCTGCACTGGGGTCCTCCAGACCCAGCATCCCCCCTCCCCAAGTTGCCCTGAAGGGCTCTGTGACTGCCCGTCTCTTCCTCAGGTGTGCCTTTCCCCATCATTGTGGCCTGGGCCATTGGAAAGCTGTACTACGACAACGAGAAGTAAGTCACCTGCCTCCCCTCTCCAAGCCCTGAGGTCCAGGCTCCCAGCCTAGCTCTATGAGACCCTCCCCGAGGACCCTGGGTCATTCTGCCTCCCTGCCAGACCTTGGCTTCTGCAAGGGGCTGGATTCAGTCCAAGTGTCCCTCCAAGTGCTCTGTCAGAGGTGGCTGGACAGGCAGCAGTCTCTGGGCTCCTTCATTCCTCTTGCGCTTTAACAAGAACAGTCTCTAGAGCCAAGCTTCCCAGGTTCTGAATGGTGGCTCCATCATTAAACATAGGTACATGGCCTTGGGATAATTACTGCTCTGTGCCTCAGTTTCCTCCACTGCAAAATGGGCATCCCACTAACAGTGCCTACCTCACAGGGTCCTGGTGGGACTAGCATGTGTGATACCTAGTAAGCGTGGAGAAACAGCCTGGCGTGTAGTGTATGCTGTGTTAATGTTTTGATTAAGACTTGTTTTAACAAACAGTCCGTGGATTTATTGGAGATTGGTCCAGATGGCCTCAGAGGCTCTTTCCAGCTCTGAAGCTTTGGAGACTCTTGTTCCCAGTCACCCCTGAAAACTAGACTTCCGCGGTTGCATGGAGAAAACTAGACAGCTGTGTCTCACGGAGAATCACCTGGAAACTCTAAAAACTGCTGATTCCTGGGCTCACCACAGAGAGAAGGATGTCGTTGGTCTGGGTTGTGGCCTGGGCACCAAGGTTTTTTTTTTAACTGCCCAGATGGTCCCAATGGGCCGCTAAGACGGAGAAAGAGGCAGAAAAGGCGGGTGGATCAAACTGGTGAGGGAAGAAGACAGAACTGTTGCCAACAAAGCATTCTCAGGATCCACTGACCATCTGACCAGGCTCCAGGTGCCTCCTGCTGCCCTCGGCCACAGAGGAAGCCAGCGCACCCTCCCTGGCTGGGAAAAGGGTAAGGAGGCTTGGAACCAAGAACAAAGTGGGGCTCAGTGGCTCTGAAGCTCCACCTGCTGGCGAAATATAGACACTGCAACAGAAAGAATGTGAGAGACACATGAGAAAGAACTTGCAGACCAGAAGACCTGGCCCTCGACAGCTGCATTTAGCTTGCGTGGTGCTATTCAAAAACTTGATTTTGTAGCCACCTTTAAAAATCAACAGGTTTCACATTAAAATCTCAATTTCTGTTACGGGAGCAAGATGAAGTCTAGCCACTGTGGGTCTCTGCCCACAAGGACATGGGGCTTCCAGTTTGTCCCACCCACTCCCTGGAACTTGCTGGAGGGCAACTCAGGAAAATGCAAAGCAATTTTGTCTCTTGCAACAGGTAGTTCCTGTGAAATTGTCCCCATTAAGGTCATTCATGTTGCAATTTAAATAATTCAGATAGAGCCTGGCACAATGGCACACGCCTGCAATCCCAGCAACTCTGGAGGCTGAGGAAGAAGAAGGATCGCAGTTCAAAGCCAGCCTCAGCAATTTAGCTAGGCCCTGAGCAACTTAGAGAGACCCTGTCTCAGGAAATAAAGATGGCTGGGGATGTGGCTTATTTATTAAGTGCCCCTGGGTTCAATCCCCGATACCGATAAAAAAAGGAAATTTAAAAATAAAGCTTTTTTAAAAAGAATTCAGACAGATGGCTAACTGTCAGTGCCCATTTCCATAGCACCATGCTCAGCCACAGCCACCACCAGGGGACCACAGGGAGGAACGGAGGACGCAGTGCTCTGTTGGGCCCCGGCCTGTTCCTGGGCACTCAGTGGTCTTCTCCACCGTCCCTCCCTGCCAGGGTCTGCTATCCACTTTCCATCTCATAACAGAGGCTGCTGTCCACCCTGCAGGTGGGATAACTGAGGCACTGCAGTCAACTGGCTTGATCTTCTGTCAGGATTGGAATTAGGGTACCCACATCCTGACTGCCAGCCCCAGTCCTGCCCTGGCCAAGCACAGCCCTTCCCTGAGCCACTGAAGTGGATCCAGATGACGCCACCCCCTTCCCTTTCCTCTGTGACCTTCCAGGTGCTGGTTTGGCAAAAAGCCTGGGGTGTACACCGACTACATCTACCAGGGCCCCATGATCTTGGTCCTGTTGGTAAGAACCTTGGCGGGGGCCCAGACAGGGCACAGTGGGAAGGGGCAGTCAGTACCTGCTGTGGACAGAGAGGACCCTCTGCCCAGAGGTGGGGACCACTCAGAGAAGCCCAGGCCAGGACTCTGTGGGTGTTAATGAGGAGGAAGGAGAGCAGTGGGGTACAATTGAGAAGGCTGGGGACCTAAGCTGTCCCCTCCACCCACCACGACATCCTGCACACATCCACTCCCCCGTCTCCATCCGTGTGCTCGACTTGCAGATCAACTTCATCTTCCTTTTCAACATCGTCCGCATCCTCATGACCAAACTCCGGGCATCCACCACATCCGAGACCATTCAGTACAGGTACCAGTCCCCTCCCCACCCAGGGGGCTTCAGAGTGCCAGCCTCTGAGCAGGTCTCTAATGAGACCTGCCACCTCCCACCCCAGCCAGAGGCCCGGCTCCCTCCTGGACAGGCTGTGACTCTGGGTCCTCACCCCCCTCCACCCCAGGAAGGCTGTGAAGGCCACTCTGGTGCTGCTGCCCCTCCTGGGGATCACCTACATGCTCTTCTTTGTCAACCCTGGGGAGGACGAGGTCTCCCGGGTCGTCTTCATCTACTTCAACTCCTTCCTGGAATCCTTCCAGGTACAGGGCCCTCGCCCGGCCCCAGCGCTGGAGGGACCTCAGCGGCACCTGCTCCGGTGGGGATTCTCCTGGGAGGTGGAACAGAGCTGGGGACAGCCTGGAGTCTGGGTGGGCCCCCTACCCCTGCACAGGCCTCTGACGTCCCCCTGTCCCCCCCCCAGGGCTTCTTCGTGTCCGTGTTCTACTGTTTCCTCAACAGCGAGGTGAGAACCCGAGTCAGAGCTGGGCTCAGGATGCTGAGGTCCACAGGAATTGGAGACTGTCCCCCTCTGCCTCCTCCTGCCCCAGGGCTGGCTTCCTGCTCCCAGGTCCCAGGAGGATGCTGCTCAGAGCCCCCGAGGGCCTGCCACGCCAGCTGTGTGTCCAGGGCACCCTCTCCTTTGCCCTTCGGCATTGGCATTGGGGGGGGCAGGAAGCTGGGCCAGGAAGCCCTGGGGCAGGGTTTGGGGAGAGTACAGTGGGCGGGAGGAGGGGTGTCACAGGGCTGAGGGGAGGGGTTTTGCATGGCAAAGGCCGGGTGGCACCTTGGTGCCAATTAAGAAAAGGTGTCCTTTCCTAACTTGAGAAAGTGTCCCAACAAACATGGCGGTGAGAACGTTAGCGACGTGTTTCCACCTGTGCCCGTGTGAGGGGTCCTGAGCCCCCAGTCAGACCAGCCATCACGCTCTGCTCTGTTCCCACAGGTCCGCTCTGCCATCCGGAAGAGGTGGCACCGGTGGCAGGACAAGCACTCCATCCGTGCCCGTGTGGCCCGCGCCATGTCCATCCCTACCTCCCCAACCCGCGTCAGCTTCCACAGCATCAAGCAGTCCACGGCTGTCTGAGCTGCAGGCCATGGAGCGGCCCCCTGACATCTGTGGCTGGGAGGATGATGGCCCCTGTCTGAGGAAGCTACTGGCACTTTCCCACTCCCTCCCCACCCGGAGCTGTGGGCCCTGAGAGCCCGGGAGGGCCCCTCCACCCAGCAGTTGTTGTTCTAGGCTTCTGAGTGGACAGCGGCCTATAGGACTGGGCTGGGCTGGGCCCAGTTCTCCCTGAAGAACGACGCTGGAATGGAAATGGGAAGCTGGAAAGCCCTCAGCAGCACAGGGGGCTCCCCGAGAGCTATCTTGTCTCAGAGCACAAAATGGCCAGCCCACTGGAGAGCTGGGGTCCTCAGCAAACTGGGGAGGCATTGCCCCGGGGCATCCTGGGAAACTCTCCTGACACATCTATTCACCATCATGCCTCCAAGCATTAGCCTACCACTGAGAACCCAGGTCATGAGGTTTGGTCTGGAGCCCTGGGGGTATCATTAGAAATTGGGTCGCATCATCAGATATTGGGCCACATCACTAGAAACCAAACCCAAGCCACCAGAATGTCATCGGCACGGTGGCGCTGCCACCAAAAAATGCCCTGCCTTGCTGCTTGCACCCTTGGACACTTACTACCTGTGGGACCCTCCGGCTTCCCCTCTCCTCCCCACTGACAGTGCCCTTGTCCTGACTCCTGCCACTTGCTGCCCCTGGGAGTCTCCCATCTGTGAGAAGATGGGGGCAGGGAGGGGGGTGGAGTGGCCTGTGAACAAGAACCAGGTTGTGCCCCAGCTAAGGCCAGTCTCCTTTTGAGGAAGGAGAGAGGTCCTTGGGGCCTGCAGCTGCTGGCTTTGGGACTGCCTCTGGGGCAGGATCGCCCACTGAGCAAAGGGAGAAGGGGCCCTCTCTGCCTGAGTGCTCTGGAGCAGGACAAATGGCTTACCTGCCTCCATAGTGTGGACTGGCCCGCCCCCACACTGGACCCCCATGTCTAGGGGACTGGGCAGCTAGGGCAGGGTTCTGCAGTGGGGAGGCAGAAGTGCCCGCTGCGGGGGTGGCTAGTGTAAATAATAATATTTATCTTTTCAACCAGCATCTGTGAAAGCCTGGACTCTGCCAGGGACGGGGGAGAGGGTACCTGAGAGATGCACCCTCCTGGCGGAAACCCTGATCATGGCTCAGGGCTGCTGGAGGGGCAGGGGTGGGGACTTGGAAGGAGATGATCTGGCCTGCTCTTAGTAAGGAGGTGAACCAGGGAGGGAAAGGACATGATCAGTAAGGTGGGGGAACTTTGCCGTGGCAAGGGACAGCTGGAACAAAGGCATGGCCACGGGACCCTACAGGAGAGGGTTCAATCCAAGGGAGGAGCAGAGCTGGGGAGCAGGCAGTGGAGTTAGGAAGCTGGGGAGTCAGACTAAGATAACTGTGGTGCCCGGAGTCGGCCGCTCCTGCAGGGGGTGGGGAGGCCCTGCGGGAGTTGCTGGGGTCCTTGAAGGACATATGGGGTGCCCTGTTCTGCCAGTTCCCCAAGCTCTGTGCCCTTAAGTACAGAGATGGGGACAGGGGGACCCAGGAGTCCCAGAGCAGGGATGGACCAATGGTTCCCAGAGCAATTTAGAGTGTGAGCTGGGGTCCCCTGCAGGGATCAGGGAGTAGCCCTGCTGGCTGACAGGAGGACAGACTGACTAGTGAGTGTCAACAGCCACAGCTGAGCCTTGGAGACGCGGTTCTCAACTCGCCTTTTCACACAGTGCGGCAGTGAGGAGGCAGAGCTTTCCCCGGAGGTGGGTGGGATGGGGGAGCCTCCCAAGGATGGGGAGCCTGAGAGGGCTGCACAGACTTGCCCCTTCCTGCTTGGGCCCCTGGTTGCCCCAGCTGTCGGGCACCTTCTACTCTCAGTGTTGGGCCCTGTGGGAGGGGAGAGGGGAGCAGCCATCCAGAATGGATGCTGGGGACCTGTCAGAGCCCCTGGCCTTGGAAGGCCATGGGGCCTGGCTATGGGCAGAAAAGCCCAGCAGACAGGGCTGGTCCAGAGGAGCCTGGGCCTCCCATCCAGAGACTATATGGGGGCACTGCTTTATGGCACAGTGGGGAATGTCTGAGCCCCAAAGATCTGCAGCCCCATGCCAGGGCCAGAAGCCCAGAGCTTCACCCATCTGCAGCAGGTGTGTTCCGGGCTTCAGGGTTAATGCAGGCCCAGACCAGGCCACTCTGCTCCAAGGTTTGGCTTGTGGGGCCGGGAAGGCCCCATGGGAGTGAGCAGGGTGTGGCACCCATCACAGCAGCAGCAGGATGGAGGTCACTGGGGTCCCCCCAAGACCTGAGTTCAAGCCCTTCCCTTATGCCCTGAAGAATCTTTCTCCACACCACACCCAGGGGTCACAGCACCCTGAATGTACCCACACCTGAGCCCATTTCTCCCTGAGACCCTGCTCAAAGTCATAGACACACAATTCTTCCAGTTCAGCTCCCCCTCCCTGACAGACAGCACAATCCCCTCCCTGAGGTCCTTGTTGTCCCTTCTAGGTCCCTATGCTGGCCGCCCTGGGGCCAGGACTGGGGAAATCGAGTATTAGAGAGGGAGGTTTTAAAACCCAGATAATAATACCTGAATCAGGGCCATTGGTAGACTGGTTTTGCAATCCACAAAATCCTTCATAGTGTGTCTCACCTAGTCTTCAACTAGCCCAAGGAGGTAGGAACCAGCCCATTTTGCAGCTGAAGAAACTGAGGCCTAGTGACCTCCTGAGATGGAAGCCTTCTGGCTCCAAGTCCAGGGCTCCTTCTGGCCCTCAGGTGACTGAAGTCCTGGGGGCATTGGGCTGGGAGGCCAGGACTGATAAGGCAGGTCTGGGACCAGAGGGCTGAGGAGGCCACAGGGTTTTGGATCGACCTGAAGCACGTCCCACCTGAAGATGTGACCCACCACAGCTGGCCCAGCCGGAGTCCAGCAGCTGAGGCCAGCTGGTGGGAGCAATGCTGGCTCAGAGTCTCTGGCAGCCCTTCCTCGCCTCCCCCCACCTCCCACCCCTCCACTCTCTAAAATGATGCTGAGCTTCAAACCACGTAGCCCAGGCCCCCAGAAGCCATGGCAGCCCTCTCTGCACCCCAGGCCGTCTAACCCCGTGAGGCAGCCGCTGGCCTCCAGCTCAGAGGTGTCTCGTGGTCATCTCATCCAGCCCCCAGCTCCCAACTCAACTGCTCACTGGGCCCAAACAGAGCAGGTGCTCTCTACAGCTCATCCCCAGCAATCCTGAGCGGCATTGTGTTAGGGGGCATCAGGTCACGCACACGAATCTTATCTATTCTTCCTACTGCCCTGCAAAGCAGATGCTATTATCCCCCATTTAACAGGTGGGAGAAGTGAAGCCCAGAGAGGTCAAGAGACCTGCCCAGGGCACCTAGCAGTGGCATGTCTGGATGAAAACCCAAGGTGGCTTCACGCTGCCTGCACAGAGGTACAGGACTCTTTGCAAGGTTACCCTCCCTGCCCCACTGCCTCCTACAGTAACTTTCCAGGGACATTTTTCTATTTTCCAATCTGTAGACAAACAGCATTCAAAGATGAGCTGGCCGTAGGATCTGGAGCCTACACAGCACAGGCCTCAAGTGCCCCCTGTGTCCCCAGGTCATCCCAGCTCCACCTCTCAACATGGCCTCCTGCCTTTCTCTCTAGCCCAGCAACCCCTGCAGATACCGCCCTGCAGATACCGCCAGGCAGGCTCAGGGTCAAGAGAGGCCTGGGCCCCGTCCATTTCTCAAAGCTCTCGGTGACGGAAGCACCAATGAGTTCATCATTTGGATGAAACTCCAAACTGCCACCAGACTGCCACCCAGCCCCTTCTGTCCCTCCAAGTCGTTCTGGACAAAACCCTGCCACCCTGCCTCATTGTGCAATGGGCCAAGGCAGGTGAGAACAAGGGGAGGGCTCTTAGGGACCCAAGGAGGATGGTGAAAACTGGGGAGGCCCGAGCTCCTGCTTCTCTCCCCTTCGTGGCTGGAGTGAGGGAGAGAGCAGATGACAAGCCAGTCCCTTCCCAGGTCTGCACCACCTCCAGCTCAGGCCTGGGTCAGCAGGTCGAGGCAGAAGAGAGGCCAAGCAGCAGGGTACTTTCCCTGCCTGCCCGAGCGGATACCTACTGCCCCTGAGTGGGTGAAGAGAAATGTTCCAGACGCTGTCTAGGTCCAAATGGAAGGCAGAGACTTTGCCACTGGTCTGCCCTGGGCAGCCCCCTGAGAGCTCAGGTCCTGGCCAAGGTGGGGACAGGGGAGAGAGCAAAGCAGCCAGCGCAGGGGCTGTCATCAAGGTCAGGGTCAGGAGTCTGCAAATCCTTAGAGCAGGATTATAGCAGGAGAGTGGACCACAGCCCCAAAGGGCACCAGCCACTCGTGTGAATGCAATGATCAGGGCTCAAAGTGGCCACCCCGAAGGGCAAGCCCAGGGCTGATGGGCTGGGCTGGGGTAGGCGGGTGGGTAAACAGTGACTGAGGCAGGGACCGCCTTCAGCAAGCTGGGTCCCAGGAGGAGACATGGAGGGAAGGAGCCTTCAGAGAATCCTTTGAGCCCAAGGGTAGATCAAGGAGGAAGGCACGAGCAAGCTCTGTCGAGAGTACCCATGTTTCCTTTCTCTCTTCCTTTCTTTCTTTTTTCCCCTCTCTTTCTCCTTCCCTTCCCTCATTCCATCCATCCATCCTTCCTTTCTCTCTCTCTCTCTCTTTTGTGCTGCGGATTAGACCCAGAGCTACTCTACCACTGAGCTACATCCCCATCCTATTTTATTTTATTTTGAGACAGGGCCTCACTAAATTGCCCAGGCTGGCCTCAAACTTGCCATCCTCCTGCTTTAGCCTCCTGAGAATCTAGGATTACAAGCATGTGACAAGGTGCCAGGCTGGTTCCCAAGTTTGCTGAACCCCCAAGTTTGGGGGCACATGCTGGCCTGGCAGGATTCTGAGGAACCACAGTGAGACCTGTCCTGAGGACTGTGCCAGCCCAGGGGATGAGCCCGTTCTTGTTTTTGTCGTTCTGGGTGTGATAAAGCACAAATTGTAAAACTGTTTTAGCTATGTTAAAGTGTAAAATCCAGTGGCATTAAATCCATTTGCACCCCATAAATCTGTTCAGTTGTTATATAACAATAAAAATATATAACAATGTTGTGCATTTGTTTCCCCAAATGGAAACCCCATTAGCAGTCACTCCCCAATCCTCCTCCCCCGGGCCCTGGCCACCATGAATCTGATCTCTATAGATTTGCTCTTATATTCCAGATAAGTGGAGTCAACCATTTGGTATTTGTCCTTTTGTCTGGCCTTTTTCACTTACCATAATATTTTTTTAAGAAAATATTTTTGGGGGGGGCTGGGGTGGTAGCTCAGTGGTACAGCACTTGCCTAGCCTGTGTGAAGCACTAGGTTCGAGTCTCAGCATCACATATAAATAAATAAATAAATAAATAAATAGTTCAACAACTAAAAAAATTTTTTAAAATATATATATATTTTGTTTTTTAGTTGTATTTGGACACAATACCTTTATTTTACTTTTATGTGGTGCTGAGGATCGAACCCAGCGCCCCCCATGTGCTAGGCGAGTGCTCTACCACTGAGCCAAAACCCCAGCCCCTTACCACGATGTTTTCAAAGTTCACCCACATTATAGCATGTATCTACTCTCTTCTCCTTTTCACAGCTGAGGACTTCCCACTGTGTGGCTGGACCATTCTTTATCTATTCAACGGATGGTGGACACTTGGGATCTTTCTATGTATTTCACGTCGTCCTGCATAGTATTGCTATGAGCATGTATGAATTTTTGTTTGGACGCCTGTTTTCGATTCTTTTGGATGCACACCCGGGAGTGGAATTGCTAGGTCATGTGATGATTCTCTGCTTAACCACCAAGTTGTTTTCCCCAGTGTCTGCGCCATTTTGAATTTCCACCAGGAGTGCATGAGGGTTCTTGTTTCTCCATATTCTCACTTGTTACTGTCTGGGTTTTTTTTTTGTTTTTGTTTTTGTTTATAATTTCTATCCCAGGGGTGTGTTAGTCCTTGATTTCTAAAAGACCCAAGAGTCCCTTCTTGGGAGCAGGGCCCTGAGTGAGGGCCTATCCTGCTCATCATAGCTGGGGGCCAGAAACGGTTTTAGGTTCTCAGCTCTCAGCAAGGGGCTTCCCGACCAGCTAGCATTTAGGTGCCCAAATTCAGACAGGTGTGCTCCATAGGGACACTGCCTTAGGCTACGATGAGGCCTATCCAAGCTGACCCCTCTCCCAATCATCTCCTGACCAACAGTAGGAACTCTCTTGAAGGGGCAGCCAGCAGCTGGGTCCTGCCCATTTCCACACCAGCTGGTGGCACCCCATTCAGCTCTGTTGGTTTTCTGATGTGTTTTTGACAGTTCAGTTGTCATTGTAATTATTGCTTGTAATCTAATTAAATGTTACGTTAATGGATAAATCAGAAGTACACAAACGAGGAGAAATGTTCATTATGAAAATTCAGCTGAATGCTTTGGAAGCCACAATATTAAACAAGTCACAAAAAGCAGCTGTCAAATTAGGAGTTGGCAAGACAAATATATAAATAATTAGGGGGAAAGGGCTATCAAAATCTAGATGAGTCATGCAGACTACTTCGCAAGGTCCTTTAAACTTGCTCTCCACTTCAGAACATCCAGAAACCCAGAGCCCAGAGCGGGGGGAAAAAATGTGGAAACAAACAAAATCCAGAGCTGGATGCTGGAGATGGTGTTTCCATGATGAGATGTTCCCAAAGAGAGTGACTCGGAATTGGAAAGGATGGACGCGCTGTGGACGAGGAAGACCACCACTTGCTCTTTGGAGGTTAAATTAGCATGTGTGTCAGCAGTGGAATTGTGTCCCCAAAAAGACCTGGTGAAGTCCCCATACCTGCGAGTGTGACTTTATTTGGAAATCAGGTCTTTGCAGAGGTAATTAAGTCAAGATGAGATAATTCAGTTGAGCCCTAAAGCCATTGTCACTAGAGTTCTTATTAGAAGAGGCACAGGGACAGAGGGGGGCAAGCCATGTGGCACAGAGGCAGAGATTGCTACCAGGAAGGCAATGAGGCTTGCAGCCACCACCATCGAAGAGACAAGAGAGATTCCACCCAGACTCAGAGGGAGCACCCTGCTGATGTGACATGTTGATTTCAGGCTTTGTTTTAGACAAACCCCATGGACTAGGAAGCTTAACAACATTTATTTATCATAGTTCCAGAGACCTAGAAAAAGCTTAAGATCAAGATGCCGGCTGATTCAGTCCCCGGTGAGGGGCTTCCACCTGGTTTGCAAAGGGCCCCAACAGAGATCATCTCCCTCCCATCTCTTCTACAAGGGCACAAATTCCATCCTCCTCTTGACCCAACCATCACCTTCGGGTCAAGCTTCAGCATGTGAATTTTGAGAGGACACAACATTCAGTCCATAGCAGGATTCTGGCCTCCAGAACTGTGGGAGAACAAACGTTGTTTTATCCATCTTGTTTGTGATCATTTGTTAAAGCAGGCGCAGAGCCAACATCTGGGACTCCTGACTTCAAAGCCAGCTCTCACTACTCTTTGAGTTCCCTCTTTCTGACTGGAAGTCTACCTACTGGGGACAG